AAAAAAAAAAAAAAAACCGGGGGGGAAGAAAATTGAGCGCGAAGCGTCATGAGGAAAAAAAAAAAAAAAAAAAAAAAAAAAAAAAAAGGAGAATCAGAAGAAAAACGCCGTCTTGCCTGGATCATACGACATCTGGCTGCTCCTTGGTCTAAAAAAAAAAAAAAACGCCGGCTTTATTTCCCGCCTTCACTCTCCTCCTACGGTAGTATCTCTCCAGGAATCTGACGGCGTCCCTACCGTCTTCACCCGAATAGAACGCCCGGTCATTGTAGCTCTGTATTTAATACAACCTTTCCGTCTAGATACAGAGATAATAACCAAGGCGTTCTATTTGGATAAAGACGGCCAGGCGTCGGACACCCTGCACACTATGACCATCAATCATCCTTCTGCTGCATGCCCTTTTTTTTTCTTTTTTTTTCTTTTTTTTTCTTTTTTTTTTCTTTTTTTTTTATATGTGCGCGCCATGTTAAGGTGAGTGATGATTTTATTTTCCTCTTATTATTTTTTATCCAAAGGTGTGTGCTGCACACTATGATCATCAATCATCCATCTGCTGCGTGCCATTTTTTTATTTTTTTTTTTTTTTTGATGTGCGTGCCATGTTAAGGTGAGTGATTATTTTCTTTTCCTCTTACTGTATTATTTTTTTCCAAAGGTGTGTGATGCTTTTCCGAGACAGGTGCAGCGTTGGGAATGAGACATCTGAAGCGGGAGAGGAGGAGGAGAAGGAGGAGGAGGAGGAGGAGGAGGTGGTTCTGCTTAGTTCAAAACACTTACCTACCAAACACTATACCTATATGGCTCCCCTTCTCTCCCAGATATGAAGTACTTTCCTTCACCCTGTATCTAGACTGAACAGTGACCCAAATACAGCTATAACGACCGTGCGTTCTTTTCGGGGAACGAACGGTAGCACCTCATGACAAGAGAAGGGGAAACGCGTAATCAATGGAGTCCATCAAGACGGTTAGATCGTTAGGACCTGCCACGTGGCTGGATGCTATACACACATCACCTCTTCATTCACAGATCATGAGATCAAATCCTGGACCACATCCAAAAAAAAAAAAAAAAAAAAAAACAACAACAACAACTAGCCCAAGTTTTTATTTTTACATTTTTCGTTCTCTACACCCTGATCGTCATTGAATCCCTCCTTATCTCTTCCGCTTCCCACAAGAAGTAGAGAGAGAGCCTAACTACAAACCCTAATCCTCTCTACCCCATTCCCTCTCTTACTCTCGCTTTCTCATTACCGTCTTCACCCGAATACAACGTACCCTAATCATACATGACTGTATCGGATCAGAAAAAGACGTTATATACGTTCGTGATCAGGGTGGGTGGTATTCGGTTGAAGACGTTAACCTCGTTCACAAATAGTTCCCACTCCCTCCACACCTCCTAAACCATCTCCCTCCTACTCACCGCACCATTCTCCATAACCATCCCCTCTCTTGCTCTTCATAACTCTCTCACTCCCTTCTTCCGCCTTTTTTTTTTCCCCTCCTTGATTAGACAGATCGTCCTCTTCCATTTCCTCTTTCCTCACCTCTGCCTCTCCGGCGTGTTTAATCTTTCACTCTTTGAGAAAGAACGAGAGAGAGAGAACTTCCATTTCCTCTTTCCTCACCTCTGCCTCTCCGGCGTGTTTAATCTTTCACTCTTTGAGAAAGAGAACGAGAGAGAGAGAAAGAGAGAGAGAGTACTTGTTTCAGTTGCCTCAGCCATTCCTCTCTCTCTCTCTCTCTCTCTCTCTCTCTCTCTCTCTCTCTCTCTCTCTCTCTCTCTCTCTCTCTCACACACACACACACACATTCCTCTCTCTCTCTTACCCGCCACCGCAGTTTCGGAGGGAGAGAGAGAGAGAGAGAGAGAGAGAGAGAGAGAGAGAGAGAGAGAGAGAGAGAGAGAGAGAGAGAGAGAAAGAAAGAAACCGCGATGCCGCCCCGTGGACAAAATCCATCTCTCTTTCTCTCTCTCTCGTGCACACAAAGGCACACACACATACACACACACACACACACANCACACACACACACACACACACACGCACGCACACGGACGCACAAACGAACGCACACACACGCGCGCACACGGGCATACGCACACAAACGCACGCGCGCGCGCACACACGCACACACACTCTTCGCGGAGCCCTGCTGCCCTATTCACCGTGATTGCACGAGTGGGCCCAACCAAAATAGAGGACGACAATGGCCCGTCCGCTCAAATACCTTCTTGGGGGTTATTTCCGACCTTACATATTTTCTTTCCCCTCTCTTTCTTTTCCCGAGCTCATGCAATTTGCGAGTATTCTGCTCGTGTCGTTTTTTCTCTTTTCTGCCTTCTACGAAAGTAATGGCACAGCTCGACCGATCAGGCGATTGATGGGTTGATCGATCGATCGATCGATCGATCAATCAATCAATAACACGCACCAGTCAATGGACCAATCCATCCATCCATCAATCAATCAAACAATCCATTAATCGATCAGTCCATCACGCAATTACTCAATCAATCAATCAATCAACTGATGTGGAGCATCACGATCGGCGAAGAACCTCCTTCAGCAACAACGAGGCTCAATCTCGACACCACGAAGAAAAAACGACAATGTTTCGATTGCACACGACAACATACATGCACACGCACGCACACACGCGTACACGCACCCACGCATGCACCCACCCACGCACGCGCACACACCCACGCACACACACACACACATACACACATGCACGCGCGCACACACCCACCCACTTGCGCACACCCACCCGCGCCCGCATGCACCCACCCGCGCGCGCACGCACCCACATGCACAATCACACACGCGCACGCACCCACCAACACGTACGCACCACCCACACGCACGCCCACGCACACGCACGCACACAAACACCCACACACACACACGCGCACACACACACGCGCGCGCACGCACCCACCAACACGTACGCACCACCCACACGCACGCCCACGCACACGCACGCACACAAGCACCCACACACACACACGCGCACACACACGCCCGCGCACGCCCGCCTCACGCACGCGCACGCCCGCCTCACGGACGCCCACGTCCGCGCGCCCACGCACGCCCACGTCCGCACGCCCACGCACGCCCGCCCACGCACACCCACGTCCGCCCGCCCACGCCTCGCGCGCACGTCCGCCCACGCAAGCCCGCCCACGCACACCCACGTCCGCCCGCGCCCCGCGCGCACGTCCGCCCACGCACGCCCGCCCACGCCCCCCGCGCACGTCCGCCCACGCACGCCTGCGCACGCCCGCGCACGCCCGCCCACGCACAACACACACAAATACAATCCTTCAACAGCTGCGACGCTTCCGCGCACACACCGGTGGCCTTACCTCCTCCGCAACCGCCCTTTTCAGCTCCCTTGTTCTATGTACTGCTTCGCCTTGGGCTGGCCGAAGGAAAAAAGGCAGTAGACAGTTGGCCCTTTAGGCTCACTCACAGCAAGATTGTTTTTGCTTTTATGTATCTGAGCATGATTTTTTCCTCTTTTTATGTATCTGAGCATAAATCACCGCCAAATTCCGTCGTAAAAGTCCGACCGTGAGGATCCCACAGTCCATAGTCCATGTGCTTTTTGGCTGGCAATAACTGGGACCCCACGTATGTCCAGAAGAACAAGCACCTACTCACTCACACAGCGACGGCATCCCAGCAAAAAAAAAAACAATCCGAGGCGTTTCCGCGGTCGCCACGGCCTCTTCAGGTGGAGGTTACCCTCCTACTGTACACCACCTTCCATCTCCGACGATGTTTATTTCCGGAAGAGACAACAAAAAAAAGTGTCCACGTGGCTTCTTTTCATTGCACCGTGCAACCCGGCGGCCCACGTGGACGGCAATCGCAGGTCTTCACCTTCACACCCATCAGGCTACAGATCAACCGAACTGGTTTGAAACACGATGGACATTCGTGGCAGGATTGCGTAACGGTATACGACTCATTTTCATACTCCTCGTGGCCCTTCAGCATCTTGAAATCTTTCTCTTTCCCCACGTACTTACAATGACAACATTCAATCCCTCGCGCTCCAAGCGCAACACCACCAAGCACCTGGACGAGGCCCTCGGCCAGATGACCCATAGGCGACTCCGCTGCCATGACCGTGACAGTGGCGTAGGTACGAACGTGAGCACCCTACGAGTCGCAGGTGGGGGGGGTACAAGCAGCAGCCTACCGGTCGGAGGTGGGGACAAGCGAAAGCCTACCCGTCGCAGGGGGGGACAAGCGACAGCCTACTGATCGGAGGGGAGGGACAAGCAACAGCCTACCGGTCGCAGGTGGGGACAGGCCACATCCTACCGGTCGCTGGTGGGGACAAGCAAAAGCCTACCGGTCTGAGGAGGGGACAAGCAACAACCTACCACTTCCACGGTCTCCCACACATGATGAGCACGTCCAACTCCTCACCCATCTCCTATTTCTCCATTCTCCCCTCTCCCTCCTGAGTCTTTTCTCCCCTCTGCCTCCTCTTCCTGCCCTCCTCCCCTCTTTTTTTTTTCGGCAGAGAGAAATCCCTCGTGCCCGTGCAACGTGCAACCTTCAGTCACTACGCACCCTCGCGTCACAGAGTGCTACCGCTCCGTCGCCCTATCGTGATGGGAAGATAACCAAAATTGCCCGCGCAACAACAGACTACCGTTGGTACGTCGCCCGGGCCGTCGGTCCACCCCTGCCGTCCTTCCCTTCCACTGGTTCTGCTGGCAGTGAAGTCGTCCATTTCCCACAGTCTGCAATTGGAGCGCAATTTGGCTTCTGCTGGCAGTGTCCTCGTCCCTATCCCACAGTCCGCAATTCCAGGGCAATTTAGCTTCTGCTGGCAGTGTCCTCGTCCCTATCCCACAGTCCGCAATTGCAGGGCAATTTAGCTTTATCCAGCCAGGTCTGCTCTTATCCAGGTCGTCCATTTCCCACAGTCTGCAATTGGAGTGCAATGTAGCTTCTGCTGGCAGTGTCCTCGTCCCTATCCCACAGTCCACAATTGCAGCGCAATTTAGCTTCTGCTGGCAGTGTCCTCGTCCTTATCCAGGTCTGTTCTTATCTGCTCTTATCCAGGTCCACCCCACTGCCCCGCGCCCTGGGGAAAAATTGGCAGACTGGTGTTTTGCGAACTCCACTCGTCTGGAAACCCGCACGGAAACCTACAATGGAAAGCCTTTTCAGAACCCATCGACCGTAGAAGGATGTAGCTGGAAACGTGTCAGAAGTCTTTCTACGCGGTTGGCGGCCTGGAAACCAACGACATCATCCTTCCACAACCTTTCCAGAATGGCCTCCCAACCGACTAGGAGGGGGCCCATGTTCTTCCTTGGAAAAAAAAGGTCGTGCGCGTGTGGTCCAGCTGACGTCACAGCGGACCGTTTTATGGTCAGGCAAGCCCTATGTGGGCCCTTGCATGGCTGCCCTGTGTGTGTGTGTGTGGTCCAGCTGACGTCACGGACATCCGCTGTCGTGTCGCACGACTCCTATGTGGGCCCTTGCATGGCTGCCCTGCACGGCCCCTCATTTTCGAAACGGCACGGTTTTCGAATTTGAATTCGGGCGGGCTGGGGACGGTGGCCAGCCATGCAGCTGTGATCCAGCCATGCAATGGCACCATATGAATGCACGTGGGAATCCTGTTAGCCGTGCATATTGTCCTCGTCTCGACTGCCGGGATTTGAATGTGTGTTCGCAGTGCAATGCCATCGCTGACGAGCATCGTAGGCGCAGGGTGTGGGGCCTATGCTTGGGGTCATCGGTTTTGGCGGCGTCATCGACCAGGGTGTGGGCGATGGTTGCATTCGGAAGGGGTGGGCGGCGTGGCGACGATCGTCCGGGCAGGGAAGGTTTCGAGAGAAGCAGTTTCGCCAGTTTCTCGGGGTGTGAACGCATTGCATCGATTGCTGCTTCATCTCGCATGGGCTGTTTCTCAGGTTGTGGTTCCACATCAGTCATCATTGTCATCATCAACTCTTCTTCATCCTCGTCGAATTCCGTGTGGCCACGCTGCTTTGTCTGCGTCGTCTGGACAGGACTGCACGTGAGAGCGTACTCCAATCTCCACATCCGCTCAGTGTCCAGGTGGTGGTTGCTCCTTCTTCCTGCCATTGTTGTGCCTGCCCATCGTGACTTCATCGTTGCTCCCCCCCCGTAGTTGTCATGATCCACGAAGCAAGCAGTGTTGGTGGAGGAACATTATGATTGTGGGCTTTGATAGGCTGCTGTTTGATCGTCGTTGTTGTCATCGTCACTGCATTGTTGTTGTCCATATCTTTGTTTTGCGTTGTTCTCTTCTTGTGCTTGTAGTGGGCGGTGCAAGGATTGTAGCGGTGCAGGCAGGCGAGCTGCTTTTGCTGCTCAGCGTCGAAGTAGACGGCGGCAAGTATCTGTTGTCCCTTGTGGCATTTGGAGGGGGAATGGATCCGAGATGGTGGACGGCGGACACCATTTGAGGCACTGAGGGCGGACAACGCTGAAGGCAAAACACTCCGATGAGGCCCGCCACGAGGAAGGAAAAAACAACAAAAATATTTTCGAATTGAAATGCCATAAGTTCCAACAGCTCCTTTTCGACGCCCAGGGGATTGTTGAACGATGAACCCCGCCACCAATTCACTGCGACACATCCCACACTGTCACGCACAGCCGCACACGGACATGTCCTGGTCCAAGAACAGAGGAAGGTCATGCACCTCAACCCCCTCCCAACTTTCCTTTTCGGGGGGACCCCTCCGACCTTTCTTTTTCAGGTACGTTTTGTCATTTCCAATGCATGTTTTTGCAGTTGCGGTGGGGTCCCACGGAAACCCACCAAAGTTTTTTCGAACTTGGTAGCCCGTGTTTTATGGCCAACCACTTTTTCCAGGCGTTGAGCAGTGGGGTCCACCCCTTAGGGTCTAATCCCACACTACTTAATGTAAGTAAAAAGGAATTTTCTATGGGATCCCACCGGTTTTCGCAGATGTAGGGAGTTCCACCAGCGACAGAGCGTTGTGGAAACGTTTGATGTCGTGTCACTTGGGGAACACAACGACGAGAACGATTAGGGCATTCTGGAAAAGCGCTCGACCCGTACCCTCTCCCCCAAAAGAAAGCGCAATTTTGGTTGTTTTTTTTATTTATTTTTTATGTATGTTTGGAGGACCTGGTTCGTCCGTAGAACGTCCTGCGTGAGAGAGTTTAGCATTGCGGTTTACTGCTTATCACTCTCGCCAATATTTATTGACTGAATTTTTTGAATCGAATGGAGAAAGAGTGCACACCTGCCTTATCGATTTCTTGTCGAGTGTTGTAGTTATATCAATCAGGAAGATAGCTTGTATACAATTTATTGACTGAATTCTTTGAATCGAAGGGAGAAAGAGTGCACACCGACCTTGTCGATTTCTTGCCGACTACTGTAGCTATATCCAATCAGGAAGATAACTTGTATACGTTCGTTATGAATTTAATGTAAATTCGTTATTTTTGTTATACTAATTTATTTTATTATTTTATTTATTATTCAGTATTGTAAGTAAACCTTTACGAGGAGGGTGAAGAAATATAGAGACAAAGGTGCAATGGGAAGAAGATGAGCATGGTGAAAGATAACAGACGAAAATATCTGGCGGTTGGTGAATAGAGACACCAAGCGTGAGTTGCTGGGGATTTTGTACTCGAGTTACTATAGGTTCTCTGCACCTTATTTAGTGTTATTTTACTCGAATTATGAACTATCAAGGAAAGTAATTCTTCAGAGAACTAGAGGCACAAGATAAATTTATTTGTGTTTCACTTTTTCCTACTACTGTCATTATTATTTATTATTATTTTTAATATTTATCATTTTACTTATTATTATTTTTATTATTATTATTATTTTCTTTAGCTGGTCGAAAATCTAATTTAGATATGCTTAAGGAAACGATGAAAGGAGTGAGAGAACTGCCTTATCAGACTGAGTCATGTCATGTGCTTATATATATATATGTGACGATATATATATATATATATATATATATATATATATATATATATATATATATATATATATATATATCAAATAAATCAGGTTATGTGTGTTTGAAACCCCACGAGAAACAAGAACCGGGTACATTATAAAATGTTAGATTGACTTTATCTGCTGAAAAAAATGTTGAAAAATTGATTCGATTCGAAGTAAACAAAATGATAGGAAGGGATTAAAAAGTTGTAGAAGGCATACCCGTGCAGCAGACTGCTAATTGTTGCAGTCAAAGTAAGAAGTCCGCTTCATCTCTTGGTTGTTTTCCGTAATTTTGTGTACAAGCAAAAGCGACATGTTTAACTAGTTCTCACTTTCCCCTACCATTCCTTTATAACTCCTCTGATTGTCTTTTTCTGTTGATTTATCTTAACAAAATTGTGTCTTCATGATTTTTTTTGTTTGTGATACCTGATCCTTTGATAATTATCACAATCCTCAGTTATAAATTACAACAGTTGGTTAGTTAATTGTTATAGCAATTGATACAAACGTAACTGTTGTTTGCAATGGTTGATGGCAGCGATTGTTGTATCTGGCATGCTATATTGCAAATGTTTTTGCTTAAGTTGTTCCTTACCAATTAGTTGGTTGCTATGCAACATTGCGTCTGATTTTAAGATTGTCACAAAAATATAATTATGTTTTGCAAATTATCATAAAGGTAATCGTGATTATATGCCGCCAACATAGACGATATCGAATTACTTTTATTGTTAAGGACTATTTCCGACGTTTTACATTATAAAAAGGTTAGGAAGTTATAAGGAAAAAACCTAAGCAAGATGACAGCGGCAAAAATGAAGTAGGTAATGGGTTGCTGGATACCAAGAGTTAGGTGCCTTTATCATTTGTGCCCGTTATTATTTCATCTAGGCATATCGTCAAAGATCAAAGGTAAAAAGGAAAAAATTACCAATTATAGTAGCAAGTACTTACAATTATCACGACAAGGGAATGAAGATGGTCGTTATTGATACTGCAAATGCTAGATGTTGTAGTTACTGGTTGTGTTGGAAGCTACATCAACTAACTACTGTTGATCCCTTAGGGTAAAGCATCAGTGACAACATATTTTTTATATAGGTTACTGCAAGATGCAACTAATTACTGTAAGTGAGCGTTGTTAGAGTTGCTTGCACTGTAAAGTTGTCATTTATTCTTTAGGGTTGTCATATTACTTGTTTGACTTCAGTCTGATTAACCTTAAGAGGTAGTTGAATACTCCAGTGTGAGTTACGTTACTATTTGTTTGAGACTGTGAATACTAAGTATTCAAAAATTGTGGGCTACTGCAATGTAGGTTACTCCACTATTTGTTTGAACCTATGTTGGTTTGATATTAAGAAAGTGGTGAAATGCTTCAGTACAAGTTATTTCGTCACTTGTATGACTTAATGGCATGTGCATTACATAGTTGTTGACAAGAGGGATGAGGGTCCCAGTGTGAGTCATCATGTCGCTTGTCTACTATGCGTCGTTCGTTTGCATATATTTTCGTGTATGAAAATATATGTACTGACTTTGTTATGGTAGACAAATAGTGAAATAACTTCAGTGTA